TAACTCTGTACACATTCTGGAACATTTAGGGGTAAAATAGACGCGGCATCCACACCGTAATTACAGATCGAATAATACGAGTGGCTCTGCGGAAAGAGAACCCCCACCTGCTGGTCCATGTGCAGCTCACCTTCTGCAGGCACAGAGCACAGAGATACTAATTGGGCGTCAAGAGAACAAAGAATTCCTGATCAAATGAGTGCAGGAAGTCAGTTTACTAAATCCTGTCTTGGAGATTCAAGATGCACATTAGCATATTAAAAAAGTCCCACGGTTTTAAAGAAATCCATTTAACTTTATTTCATGATTTATTTGTAAAGTGGAAGAATTCCTCCCCCCCCCCCCCAGCACACTTTTAACAACCCTTTCCCAACAAATCAAAACCTTGTAAAAAATTAAACGGGCTTCCTTTCATCTCAATTTAGGAAGAACTAAACGACAGATTATTTCAGGGAAAGAAGGATGCCTTGCTTTGAATTTTCTGCTGTGCCTAGCACATCCTTGAATATAAAAGCTCTTGATAAATGTTTATTAATTAATGAACTTAATGAGGAAAAAAGAGGGAGACAATTCGAAGAGCTTGGAGCTTTAAAAGCGCTTCCAAACCTACTTGACTTCCAACCAATGATTTTTTTATTACAATAATTTATACGTAACATAAAATGTACCCTTTTCACCTTTTTTAAGGGTCCAGTCCATCGGCATTAACCACGCTCATACTGTTGTGCCATCATAAGCACCGACCAGCTCCATAACTTCTTCATCTTCCCAAATGTTCTGAGCCATTTTCCCTTTCGCTACTTCTCTACATGGGTGTTTCTCTCCAGTATTATGTGTTACATGTACCAGGGGTGGTTAAACTTCTACTTTAATCTATAAATTGCAAAAAGGTGAAAACTAAATGAAAAGGGAGTCAGAGGAGGAAGTGGACATGACCTGGAAATAGTGCACACGAGGACCAGTGGCTCCGAGACACCACTGTTGGGTGTGAGGAGTTATTCACCATCTCTTTGGGTTAGTCTTCCACTTGTGAGCGTCTATGAATGGGTGTGTATGTGCATTTGCATTTGGATGTGGCGTAGTTGGACCTTCATGTTAAACATACCTTCGTGATGTAGAGAGAGAAGTGTTCTGATTGTACTTTGGGGGTATCTGCTGAGCCATCTTTGTCCAGGAATCGCCGCCCATCCTTAATGGTGACCCACTGGCAGCCACGTGCTTCCCTTGAGTGACGCAGCTAGAGTGGTGATTGATGGGAACTAGGGGAATCCCTGTTTCACAGGCACCAAAATCCTCTCTGTCTCCCAAAATAGGGATTGGTAACTGTGGGAAGGCTATTCTCTTCCCACCGTCACTGCCCTGCCCTGGTCCATTGTACAGAGTTCTTCATCTCTTGGAAATGTTATGGAGAAAATTCTGCCTTCAGCCCCTCACCCCCGGAAGCTGGTGGATGAGGTAGCTGGTGAGTTGGGGAAAGGGTCCTTGCACGTGCTCTGACTGGGCTCCTTTCTCTCTTGTGTGTGTGCTCCCCCCTGGCTGCCTTCCCGCGGCCTTCCCCGTACAGCCTGCTCCCCTGGTCAGGCCTGCTCCTGAAATGCAGTCGCTTGATAATTTGCTTGCGACCGAATGAGTTTGATTCAAGGGCAAGTTGCAGGAAACTTCATTTGGGCCCCAAGTCCAGGTCACATTCTCCAACGCAGTTTTACTGCAGTTATTTATCAATTGACAAAGGAATCAGAAGGGGACACGATAGCATCAATTGGCGCAAGATAACTGAGGCAGCCAATCCTCTTGGGCTGGGCTCTTGAACGACAGAGATGTGAACTAGGGAACTGTGGAGTGAATATCTTCCACCTCTTATGTGGCCGGAAAGCACAGAAAACACATCTGATGGAGAACAAAGCAGAGAGTAAGACAAAATCAGAGCCAAGCCTGAGGAGAGTCAATGCACCATTGCCGGTCTGCCGATGGACAAGGCCACGTGGGAAAGGATGCAGGAGGCCCTTGAACCAGAGTGGCCTCTGGTGTCAGGCAGCACAAGAAACAGGGACCGCAGTCCTGCAACCGCAGCAAATGCATCCTGCCAAGAACTGGAGTGCGTGGGAGAGAGGAACCTGAGGATGAGGTGAAAACAGCCAGTGGCCCCCTGGATCGCAGTTTCATGAGACACTGAGCAGAGAGCCCAGCCAGTTCCTTCCGGACTTCTGACCTGCAGAAGTGTGAGATAACAGACATGTGTTGTTCCCCTGCCCCCCCCCCCCCCCAAAAAAAAAAACACAAGAAAACAAAGCAGTTGTGTAGAGAGAAGCAGGGTCAAGCCATAGAGAAGTTCTGATGGCTACAGGCCCCTCCGGGAGTCCAGCTGCACTGTACTGGCCCGAGGTTCTGTAAACCACTCAATGTTATTCCGTCTTCCTTTTTTTGCTTGGGCTAGCTCAAGTTGCTTTTATAGTTTTCCAAGAATACTGACCAATGCACTCTCTGAATTTCATTATTCTTATCTAGCACTGGTAGTTTGAATACTTGCCCTACTTATTAAGAGAATAAAACGAGGTAACAGAGATAGAAAGAATCGTAAGTTCTTAAGCGTTCCTTTGATAATATCCCCAGTAAGTGGTTGTCCAGCCTTTTTCATCAACAGGGAATTGCTGCTTCTTGAATTAATCTGTTCTCTTTTCAGAGTTCCCAGTTGCTAGGAAGTGGATATATGAAGTCAACATTTCCTTCCCTGGAACTGCACCTCATCTGTCCTGATTCTGTCCTCTCGGGTCACATAGAATAAATGCAGCCTCTCTTGTTCAGGGCAGCCCTGCAGGTTTATGAAGACAGCTGTCAGGTTCTCACCTCAGCCTCTTCTTCTCTGGGCTGAATGTCATGATTTCCCTGCATCACAAGGCCTAAGAATGACCAAGAAAGTTTGGACATATGAGTTAAAGAGAAAAATTTTTTTGATTAAGTCTTCATCATTGAAAAAGAAAAAAAAGACCTAGTTAATAAGGCAATCGGCCAACACATTCACATTTTTATGGTGTTTCCAAATCCCCATGTGATGGGTTTATAATTTAAAAAATGAATTAAACACCAATTTAAATTTTTTGTTTTAATTTTTAATAAATATTTACATATACATCCCACACAAACAAAGTCTCTTTAAATCCTCAATAATTTTTTAAGACTGTAAAGAGAATTTGAGACCCAACAGGTGGAAGGCCTCTATGATATCTTGTACTGTTTGCTTACGGGTTGTAAGCATGTGTGGACAGGAATAGACTTGAATATAAACACATTCAGAGAATTTGTCAGATATGAGGCCTAACCGTAGTTTAATTTTGTGCCTGAGGAAAACATGGTTCACTTTCTTCCTGATGACAGTGGTGCCACGTGGAGGGCCGCTCTGATATAAGGAGGCAACCCATATCTCAACTCCACACATAACGCCAAATATTCGTTTTAGAATTTAATTGATGGATCTGAAGAAAATGAGGTGTTCTGGGGCTTTACCACAACGACGAGTTTTTTTTTATAGACTATTTTTAAGGCAGTTTTAAGTATTCAGCAAGACTGAGTAGAAAGTAGAGTTTGCATGTGTCCCCTGACCCCACACTTGCACAGCCTCCCCGCCCTCAACGTCCCTGCACCAGGTGGTCCATTTATTACAACTGGTGAGCCTCGCTGACAGATCAGTGTCATCTGGTGTATTCATCCCTCCTCCCCCCCAGCCCTTGGCAAGCACAGATCGCCCTGTCTCCATTGTTTTGCCTTTTCCCAATGTCGGATGGTTAGAATCGTACAGTATATAACCTTATCAGACGACCTCAGCTTCTTTTGAAGTGCATTTGATGAATGTTAGTGAAAAAGTCGGGTCTGAATTAGCAAGTCTTTTCTTACGTTTATTTACTTTACACTCTAATGAAATTCACACATGCCCGTCCTATTGCTTATGCTGGCACCTCCCAGACACTCAGCCACCATGGCCAGGAGCTCCGTGTCCTGAATTCGGGTCACGGTGCCGACAGAGCCCAGCCCAGTGTAACGTAGGTCCCCTCAGCGGAGGGCAGCTGGAATGGAGTCCTAAGGACCGGCCGGAAAGAGCTCGCCCTCCACTATTTCAGTGACAAATGAGGAAAACGACGCAAGTGGCACCTACTGCCTTCGGTCTCCGTCCCGAGGCTCCTAGGGGGTGTATGTCTCAGCCCCTTTAAGCCTGTGTTGGTTCTTAAACCTTTTGATTTCCCGTCACTTGGAACCAAGTGTAATACTCATTTTTGCATCAAACGATTTGAAAACGCGCAGAGTGATCTGTCCAAACCCAGAGGGACAAGGAAGACCCCATGAGGGAGACACTTGGGGAAGGGGTTAAAGAGGGAGGAAAGGGTGCTCTGGGGGTTGGTAGTTCTAGGTCCCACTTTCCCCACGGGTTGCAACAACCCGGTGAAGAGAGTGCACTGTTTGAGGACCAGGGTTAGAGCTGCAATTGAGCTCTGCAGGGGAGCACCGTCCTGCTGGCTTTGTGCGCCTTGGAGCAGTGGTTCTCAACCTTCTGGCCCTTTAATACAGCTCCTCAAGTTGTGACCCAACCATGAAATTATTTTCGTTGCTACTTCGTAACTGTCATGTTGCTACTGTTATGAATCGTCATGTAAATATCTGATATGCAGGATGGTCTTAGGCGACCCCTGTGAAAGGGTCGTTCCACCGCCAAAGGGGTCGCGACCCACAGGTTGAGAACCGCTGCCGGAAACGCATGGCCGAGGGCGGAGAGGAGAGCTCAGCCGGCGCCCTGCACTTGTGCAGCAGGAGGCCCGGTGCCCCACACGCTCCATGTCGCCCCCGGGGCCTCAGTGCCGCGCCCAGTTTAGACTAAATGCTGGGCAACCGCTCGCTGAACGACCCGTCGTGATCCGTCGTAAATCCCGGCCGGGTTTTGGCTGCCACCCGGCAGGGGCGGGGCCTGGCGCTGCCGCCGCGCGCCGGGGGGCGGGGGCGGGGCTTGCCGCCGGCGGAGGGCGGGGCCGCGCGGGCCTTCCCCGGGCCGAGCTGCGCTGCGGGTGCGGAGGGCGGGCGCCGCCGGCGGGTGGGGGGCCTTGAAACTGTGCGGGTGGTCTTGGCGCCGCCGCCGGGGTCCGCGGGCCCCAGGACCCTCCCCGGGAGGTGGCCCGGGCGGGGCGGGGTGGGCGGGCGGGGCTGGGGCGGAGGGCAGCCCGGCGGGCGCGGGAGGGAGCGTGTGTGCTTGCGCGTGCCGATCGGAGGCCGCCCCTGCCGCCTGCTCCTCCGGCGACTCGGGGCGACCCCGAGCCCAAGGGGAACAGCTGCGCCCCGAGTCCCGGCCGGGAGGGCGCGCTGTCCCCCCTGGAAGCGTGGGGCAGGTGGTGGGAGCTCCTCAGGCTGGACCCTCAGGATTTTAAAACACGTGTCTGTCTCTGTCATGTTTACTTTTAGGGTTTTGGCCAAATTGGGCACAAAATAGCCACTTACCCCTTCTCACCGAGGAAGAGCGGGAGAAAGGGTAAGTAAGCAATGAGCAGGGCCGGAGGGAGCCAGGGCGCCCGAGACAGCAGGGGTGCAAGGTCTACATCCCCAGCTCAGCTCCCCCGGGACCTTGGGGCCCAAGTCCACGTGTTCCCACCTTCCAGGCCGCACTCCCGCCCCGAGGGTTTCCAGGCTCAGTGCCCGGTGGCTGGCAGCTGGCCCTGACCCTTCACTCCCTCGGAGTGTGGGCCTCGCACCTCTTGGGTTTGAGTATTAAAGAGCCAGAGTCCCCCTGGTGACCAACAGGACCTTTGCATTTTAAAAGGGGGACCCCTGGAAAAACCCCTCATGACCCCAAAGCACAGAGCGCAAAGCAGCAACAGAGTGCATAGCCGCATAGAGTGCATAGCAACATGGCAGCGTTGAGTTTCTTTGGGGATCTTCTCCCCAGCTTCCCGGGAGGGAACAATGGCCAGGCTGGGCCTCCTTCTCGGGACTCTTGCTGTGAGACCCCCTCACCAGCATTCTCTTCGCTCCTGAAAAGGTGCCAAACAAACAGCACATGGAAGCCCTTGGAGGGTCGCTGTGATGTTCAGCGGGGCCTCTTTCCTCGGCCCTTTTCCTGGGGCTTTTCCATCCCCCGCCAGCACCTCCCTCCCCACGCCTCTCGCCTCTCGTGTTGGTGATGTGACACCCAGCCTCTCCCAGAAGGGTGGGAGCACCCCTGCACCCCCTCAGCCCCACATAAGCCAAGGCTTTGAATGAGTTACCATTCCGCGAGCCGCCAGCAGGAACGGGAAACTGGGGCTGCCCTCTGGCATCCCGCCGGCCGCCTGCGCCTGCACCTGCCTTTGTATGTGCTTGAATCGCGAGGCCGGTGACTACAGCACTGACTTTCTGAAAACCCCGAGAATAGTTGTTTAATTGATGATGGGTTCCCTCAAGGATTCAACAGAGATTGTGTTACCTATGGATGAGCGGGGGTGGTGGGGCGCGGAGACTGGTGGGGATGGCTCTTTGGGTGGAGCCTTCACCGGTTTTCCGAGGATTTTCTGAACAGCTAAGTGGTGATGTACAAGGCCTCCGGGTTCTTCTGGCCACTGGTGGGCGGGCGGGGCGGCTCTTTCCCTGTCTTCCTGGGACTATCCGTTAGGAGCTCCCCAGGCTGCCTGGCCCTCGCCATGTCCTGAGTGAACAGTGTGGTCAGTTCCCAGTGCGTCAGTGTGTGGTGCCTGCATCATCGTTAGACGAGGATCTGTGTTCGGGTTCTCCCTTACAGGTGACACAGGCGGGGAGTCCTGGCGAGGGCAGGGACGATCACGGTGGGAAATTAATACCGGCGTTCACTTGCCTGGGCTTCTGTACGCGGCCCGCATTTTTTTTCCCCCTCATTTTTTATCCGAGTGATAAAGGTGTCTTTTTCTGGTTACATAGGTTTAAAAAAGCGACAAAGAGTGGAATCTTGCGAGGATATAAAAGGTAGAAGGCAAGTCTCCTCGGAACTCCCTCTCACAATGCCACTGTCAGCAGTTTGGGTTGATTTCTTCGACTTTTAATTTCATAATTATATATTTCTATTGGGCAAAATTCTAAATGTCTGCCTTTTATCTCCACATTTCTGGCTGTTTACCACCATTCCTGTTTCACCCCAAGCCCTCAAGTAGAAGTACCATGCCTTTTACACACAGGCTTTTATTTATTTTTATTAATCCTCCCCCGAGGATATTTTTCCCCATTGGTTTTTAGAGAAAGTGGAAGGGAGGAGGAGACACACACACACACACACACACACACACACACACAGTGAGAGAGGCACATTGATTGGTTGCCTCCCACATTCTCCCACCACCAGGGGCCGGAATCGAGCCTGCAACCGAAGTATGTGCCCTTGACCAGAATGGAATCCGAGACCCTTCAGCCCTCGGGCCAATGCTCCAACCACTGAGCAAACTGGCTAGGGCTGCAGACAGTCTTTTAGACGCAGGCTTGATTCCTGGCTCTGATTTTGCTAGATCTGCTCTCTGGGCCTGTTAACACTTCTCTGCTCCTTAGCTTGTCGTCTATCGAAACAGAGCAATGAGCATAGTTACAAGGAGTGTGTACAACCAGCCACTGGCCCGTTAATTTCCCTCCCTATCTCTCTCTGGTCAACCATCACATTCTTAGGACTTTCCTTGTGATTGTGGGAAAGGATCTAGTATTTCACTTTCCTGAAGGTGCTAAGCCTCCTGGGGTTTTGCATTTTCACAGCGGATCGCCTGTTATAGCCGATCCTAGAATTTCCCGGGGGAGGCCTGACCACTGATGCGGCTCAGACTCCCCCATCAGATGCCTGGTCCCACAGCCCTGCCCACACAGGTGGCGCCTGAGAGATGAAGGGGCAGGGCTTCTGTCCTGTGTTGAAGAAGCGGTGACTGCTCCCCAGTGAGGAGACACCCACTGCCCTGAGCTGAGTCTGAAAGCCAGGGTTTCCTTTCGATTTCAGGAAGGCCTGTGGCGAGTGAGCATCACATAAAACCACCGATGCTTCGTGTCCGAGTGTCATGATTTTGCCCAGCGGTGGGTTTAATGATACAGCTCGGCCGTGTGGTTAGTGTGTCTAACTAATGCTGCTCTCCGGGCCAAGGGAGGCGAGTCCACAGACGTCTGATTTCACACTAGGCCCCGGGTTGCGCGTTGCTGAGGAGTACAGGCCGTCAGTACATTACAGGCCTGTCCCCGGCGCGCCATGGTGTGTGGCGCCTCCATCATAAGTCCTCGTCTCTAGGGCTGAGGAGGGTGTTTTATGTGCACGTCTCTCCATTGTGCTACTGTCCTAACACATTTCAAATGACAGCCCACTGTGAGTGAGGCCCGGCCAGACAAGCACGTCCCCACAGGGTCTGCCAGTGCCACTGCTCTCACCAGGCAACAGGCGGGATCGTTTCTATCCTGCGTGGTTTTCTATTTTTATTTTTTATTTATTTACTTTTTTTGCGGAAGAAAAATAGTCTTAAAGGGAAGCCTCATTTAAGGACCCTTTGTGATCCAAAAACTCATTTTTAAGTTCATTTTTGTTTGTGATGCTGATCGGGGTAATTATGTAGGAATAAAATAACAAGTAGCTTTTAGCTTCCTAGGTCAGGCCCCCGCTGTGCGAGTGGTCCTGTAGACTCAGGGTGTTGGAGAATCGTGAGTTATGAGTTCCAGCCTGGAGTGGCTGGACCACGTGCCCCTCCTTGTGGGGCTATCGGAATACTCTGGAGGCTGCCTTCCCGGGTTCTGGGACAGGCTGTGTCATGGCCCAGCTGTGTGGTCTTGGACACGCATCCTCATCTGTGAAATGGGGCCACTCCTCTCGATCACTGTCAGATGGAGGCCTGTAAAGCAGCATGCTACTGGTACAGAGGAAGTCCCCGGGAAAGACTAGTTCAATTTTCTTGCCTCTAGGTCCTTGCTACCAGAACAAAGACTCCCCATCTCTTACATCCCAGACAACCCCCCGGCCAGGACAGGGGGTGCCAACGAGGGGAACTCCCCGTGGAACCTGGTACTTGGTTGTGGGACTGGGAAGGGGTATGGAGAGCGATGGCAAAGGGGTGTGTGAGCTGAGGGGTAGGTGCCGGCCTCTCGCTCGGTCCATGGGCGGACGGAGGTCGATGAATGACTTCCCTCTTAGAAAGAACCCCTTTATCTCTGGCCTTCAGTCAGCCACTCTGCCGCAGACTCTGACCTCCTTACTGCCTGCTCAGTCCAATGATTAGCTTTTTCTCTTATCGCTTCGATGCCACCTGAATAACCCTGCATTTCTTTGTTTCTTTTTTATGGGGGGGGGGGACTTAATAGTAGATGTGTACTTCCTTAGATCTGGGTTTTTTCTCTACTCAAAGTCCAGCGGCTGTCTTCATGCCCTTTCCTTGTCCTATAGTTCATTCATTCCTTTTTAATATTTTAAGAAACTCTATTTTTATTGATTGCAGAGAGGAAGGGAGAGGGAGAGAGAGAATCATTGAGAGAGAATCCTCTCCTGGGGATTGAGCCACAACCCGGGCCTGTGCCCTGACCAGGAATCGAACCGTGACCTCCTGGTTCATGGGCCAACACTCAACCACTGAGCCATGCTGGCCGGGCTTTAATTTATTTTTATATTTTTTACACTGTATGCTATGTGCATTGAACTAGATACGAAGATGAAAAATCACTGTCCTTGATCAAGGAGTTCATAGTCTAGTAGGACAGTAGCCATCTCTACAGACCCCCGAAGTGCGCCGTGTGATTCGCCACGATGGAGAGACGTGCACAGGAAGGCTCCCAGGAGCTCTCTATCCCCATGGAATCGCCAGGGGAGGGCTTGCGCAGTGGCTGAGTTTGTGCTGAGTGTTGGAGGCTGAGTAGGAGGGGCAGGTGGCAAGGAGCTAACATCATGGGTGGTTGTATGGCTTCTGAGAGCAGGTGTTCTGGGGACTCTGTAGGTCAGTTAGAGTGTGAAGGGCAAAGTCAGGAGTGAAAGGAGAGGGACAGCTAAGTCAGGGCCTGCTTTCCCTCCCAGGCGAGTGACCACTGGAGGATTGTGGTGACGTGCAAGGTCCCTGACAGTGCTGGGTGGATTTCGGCCGGGGGGGGGGGGGGGGGTGAGGGGGGGTGGAGGTGTGGCAGGACTGCAGGCCAGAGCTAAAGACAGTGTTCATCTGCATGACAGGAGGTTGAGTGCTCAGATGAGGAGGGGCAGTGGGGCTGCTGAGCAGTGAGGTGGTTTAGGGAAGGTATTTAGGAGGAGGGAAGCGTGGTGGTCTTTGTGATTGAATGTGAAGGGGACGGGAGAGTGGCTCCCAGGTTCCTGGTCAGCGAGAGGCAAGGAGAAGAGAGAGCTGGTCTGAGGGCCGAGGGTGAGCGCAGGCTTGGGCATGTTGTATTAACGAGCCTGCGGGCACACCATTGGCGGGTGGGGGTGTCTAGGATGCGTTGGCTGTGGGGTCCTGGTGCTCCCCAGGAGAGGGGGGCAGGGGGACAGCTCTCTGTGTGGTGCCTGCGTCTGGGGAGGAGCTGGAGGCTGGGAAG